TTTTTAGTGCTGACATATCAAAGCTCGATAGCCAAAGGAATGATGCATAGGCAAGATCTTGATTTTTAAGGAGGCATTATTTCAAATTTTGGCTGCCTAAATTAGATCAGTAAGCGTCCTTTCAGTTAATTAATTAGTCGCGATTTTTAGAGTTTGTTTTGGTTAGAAAATGTACTTGTTTTTATATGTGTATACGGAATATGTGATCGTAAGATGTTGCTATTAAATTTCTAGATAATACACGCATCGTTATTGCTATACTTCTCTAGAAAATAACCCGAGTTAGGAATTTTGAAGTTGGTTGTTTTGTACGATAATATTTCTTTTATATTGTTGTTTTCTTTTAGGTCATTTTAACGAAGATCCAAATGATAGATAGTCCTTATTTGATTATTTTAACCACGCATTTTATGTGATTATTATTTTTTAATTACACATTTCATCAGCTTTTATTAAAATTTATGAAAATTTTGATTTTAGTCACATCAAACGGGCTATCTTTAGGTAGATCTATAGAGGTTATTGTCGATAGGAGATACGAGTAATGTGGTTTCAGAAAATTTGAAATTTTAATACCACTTTTTGTTAACCAAAATGTCAATTATGAACTTAAAATTAAAATTTAGAGTTTCTAGGCTCTAGCACAAACTTGAAGACACGTTATAATTTAGGGCGTGTTCGGTAGAAATTAAAATTGGATTAAAATTGAAAAACTAACCGTTATTTTGGACTTTTATTAGACGAGTGAGACCCAATAACGACTATATTTTCAATTTTAATTGGATTTTCAGCCTAGTCAAACATGCTCTTAGTCTTTTTATTTAGTACCTGTTTGACATGAGTTTTGAAAAATCAAGAGTTTTTTTTGGGACTAAAAAATAGAATAATTTTTTAAAAATATTCAGTCTAACTAAAAAACTTATAGAAAAAATTAATCTAAAATTATTAAAATTTTTTTCTAAACAGAACAAAAGCAAAAGCATGTCAAACAGAAACTAAAATGCATAGAAAAATACTCAAATTGGAAAAAAGATCCCATGAAATAATTTGAACCATTTATGTAACGACCCGGGTCCCACTTAAAGGGCTGTCTCGGCCGTTAGATTGACGACGTACTTTGTCCTCACTCGCACGCTCCCCGAAAAAACTTCTTAGGGGGTCACCCATCATAGAATTGCTCCAAGTCAAGCACGCTTAACTGTGGAGTTTCTATCGATGGACTTCCGGAAAAGAAGATGCACCTTATTGATATGAGTAGTACCTATCAAATCTTTTAAACTTTCCCGGCAGGGGTATTACAATAGTTGCTCAATTGGTATCAGTATACAACTTAAGTCTCCCATATGATGGAGTTCTTGGGTTCGAATCTTGGNAAAAGAAGATGCACCTTATTGATATGAGTAGTACCTATCAAATCTTTTTAAACTTTCCTGATCTGGGTATTACAATCACCTCCTGTTAGACTCGCGACGTCCTCGTCGCGCTTGATACATCTGAGGATCCGTTGCCAGACGTTGGGATTCTAGAGGTGACTCCTACGGGTTCAAGAGGTGGCTCCCGCCCTATGGCGTAGCACTTGTCCCGCATAGCACTTAGTTCCCGATTTCCGACTGGTGGCCGGGCTCTGATACCATTTGTAATGACCCGACCTCTCACTGGAGTCGTTATCTTACGTACTGTCCGCTCTGGGAGAGTCTAAGCCCATCTTACCCCTCACGGCTTTTTGACGCGTCCCCCAGAATTCGAACCCAAGACCTCCATCATATGAGAGATTTAAGTGGAATCCTAGTACCAATTGGGCAACTCGTCGAAAGCCGTGAGGGGTAAGATGAGTTTAGGCTCTCCCAGAACGGACAGTACGTAAGATAACGACTCCGGTGAGAGGTCGGGTCGTTACAATTTAATTACGAGAAAGAAAAAGAAAGAGAATGGACTAATAGCAGAAAACCCTCTAAATAAGTTTTCATTTTCAATATACTCATACCTATTGAAAATTGTAGAAAACTCCACGTTTGAAACCTTTTGTGCGAAATACAACCTCTTTTTGTGCAAAAAACCCATATACCGTCCAATTCTAGTAATATGACTGTTAAAAACATAAAAATAATAATTGTAGTTGTGGTTTCAAACCATTTTTTTCTTTACTTTTTGCAAATTACACCAAATTTTTTTATTTGCACAACCCACAACTCCAAACATATAAAACTTTATTTTCTTCCCCTCTTCCACCACATCCCACCTCCAACTACCATGAAAAACAGCAAATCCTGTAACTTCCACCGCCCATTACCATGAGAAGTAGAAAGACCGAATTGCTCCTCACTCTTCTTTTTACTACCTTCCCTCCAATGTCCAACCCCAAGTCGGTAGCTAGACAAAATAGCCCTCTTAGAGCACTAGAAGAGCACCAAAACACTCGTCGCCTTCTCCCGTGTTGTTGCTCGTGCAAAGCCGAAACTCGAGCCTAAGCCTATGCCTAAAAAACTAGCCATGAACTGAAAATCATGTCACATGGGTCAAACCGGCCGAGCATAAATCACCTTACACCTTTATACATTGCAAGAAACATGTTAAAAAGGGCAACAAGACGACCCACCAACAATTTTGCCACCTTCAAACTTGCCCAACTCAACATTAATGTTTTTGCTACTCACTCAAGCATCACAAAAACAGAATCCAAACCTGATTCACAACACAACCAACGGATTTGGATCTCAAAGACCATGGGAGAAATTTTCCCTTGTATTGCGATAATGGCATCCCAAATGTTGTCAAAATAAGGGAGAAAATCTTCATGATTTGGCGACCAACTAGGGGCGATTTCTTCTTTGATTTTCATCCTAATCCTCGCGAGAAATCTCTTCTTGTTGGTGGTCATTGTGGTGGAGGTAGTGTGTGATTGCTCAATTGGGGTGGGATGTGCATGGCTGGAAGAAGAAGGGGCGGGGTGTGCAATTAAATGATTTTGGCGTAATTTACAAAAAAAGAAAAAAAAAAAGAGAGACCACAACTGCAATTTTTTTTTGACAAACAATCAAACTAACAGAATTGGACGGTAGAGACTTTTAACACACAAAAAAAGTTGTAGTCCGCACGAGAAGTTTCAAGGAGGTTTTGTGCGAGAGTTAATAGGTAGAAAATGTATATCATAAATAGACGCGTTGACGGAGATTTTCTGCAAAATATCGAATCTTTGTCTTCTAGCAAGGTGGCTGCTACCAACCCCCACAGTATTGCAGGGTTCAGATTCTGCTGCTTTTTCGTACAAGGTAAATTTCTCATTTCAAATTTAGGGCAAATAAAGAAAATTAGGATTTCCATTTTTCCCCGCTCAAACAATATAAAATTAATATTGCAGCGAGAGGAATTTACCATTAATGGGCGCGATTGATTTTTTCTGCTTTCCTTCATCACTTTGCATTGATAGAACCAGCCACAGACTTAGTTCCAGTTGTTGTTCAGTCGAAGGAAAACTAAAGAGGAGTGGAATTACATATATGGCCTCCTCCGTGCCTGTAAAAGAGGAGAGTCAACAGCATTTGGGATGCTCAGTTACGGGGGATTCGTTTATTCGGCCTCATCTCCGCAAATTATCCCCCTATCAGCCGATTCTGCCCTTTGAGGTTTAGCATTTAAGGCTATATTTGAGCCCCCTTTTTTATCCAAACTAGCGTGGTTAAAGTGCGATGCACATTAGTTGCACGTTATTTAATGTCGAAAATAAATATATGTAAATTTTAGTGAAATTCATTTGTAAGCATCAAAGATATTCATAAGGTAATTCGAATGAAGTCAATTGTCGTCTATATTCTTTATATCTTTTCGATTCTTCATATGAAGATTTGATATTAATTGTGTCATAAATGTATTTTTAACTAAATATAATCAATGATTTAATGCTTTTATTTTATATTAGGTTGTAAATGTTTTAGGAGCTTAAATGAAGAGTTAATTACTCATGCTTGGCACATTTTAGCTAGTTATTTGTTTAGATTCAAGTTGTTTATGTTAGGAACCTAATTACATTAGTTTAAAGTTCTAAAAATGAGAAATTTGATTATTATTTTTGTGTCATTTTTAATTATGTAATCTAACAAGAGGACCAACTTCTAAAAACAACATATATATCGCCAAGAAGTTAAAGATTGAAAATACTGAGATTTCTATTAGTTTGGAAATTTGGAGATAATATATTTTTTCATAATTTATTTATTTGTTTATTGTTGTTATTCAAATGGTTTGCCGCTTCGAAACGGGATCGACCGTCAGGTCGCAAGGTTGAGGTAGTGCCCTTCGTGGTGCTTGGGGATTTTCTCTGTGTGTCACGGAGACATGGTGTCTCCATTGATATTATACTTTTATCATTTTTTTATAGAAACAGAATTTTACATACATCTTATTACAATATAGTTTTCAATTAGCACATTGCAACAAATTACAGTTATAACTTAATCCAATAAAAAAAAAGAAAGGAAAAAAAACATCTTATTTCCACTTTCCACAACGTTTCTAATTTCCCGGACAATATTAGGCTAATAAAAGAATATGTATCTCAAAATGTTAGTTGAAACTTAGCATTGTATATATATAAAAAATAAAAAATCGGGGCACCGGAGAAGGTCTCTGTGTGAGCACGGAGACATGGTGTTTCCGTGTGGTACGGGAACACCTCTCCGTGCCTCCGTGCCACAAGGTGTCCTTTTTTTTTTTTATCAAGATCCAACATTTTATCAGTTAATACTCTTGTTAGCACCGTGTGTCTGGCCCAAACACTCACACGGAGATAGGTCTCCGTATGGCACTGCACGGAGTCTCCGTGCGCACACCGAGATCTGTCTTCGTGTGGCACGAAGAGGGTCTTCGCACCACACGGTGCCCCGATTTTTTTTTGCTTAATCGAACGTTTTATCAAATGGTTAATACTCTTGTTAGCACCGTGTGTGGAGCCCAAACACTTACTCAGACTACTTCGACATAACGGTATCCACTCTCTCCACCCTTTTTCATTCTTTTGAAGTTTCTTGTTTTAACTTTACACACTTTTTCTATAACAATAGAACATAAACCTAAGACACCGGAGAAAAACCAAATTAAGGATAAAGACTATCCCATTCCAATTCATTTATACAAATTTTCCAGGTCCCTAACAAATACACGATCCATAATCAATAAGAAAAAAAATACTTCATAACCCAATTTCAAAAAACGCTTGAAAGAAAAAGTAAAACCAGAAACAAACAAGATATAGAAAAATCAACTCTAAGTTTTGATTTTCCATTTTGCTATCTATTATTTCCAATTCTACACAAGACCAGTTGACAAAACTCCTATAAGATAAAATATTTACCAAAACTCATGTTTTTACTCATTACTCCAGGAATTAAACAAAACACAATTGAGAATTTCATGCCCAATTCACAGATTTCTGTAGTCAAACAAAACTCAATTGCAACAACCTACAAAACAATTCTAAACATAAGAAAAAAAACCCAACAAAACTGAAATCAATTTCCGCACATTATGGAAGGGCTAAATCCGAATACAGCTACATATACATTCTACACGTATATCGAGGGATGATGGGTGAAAAACATACCAAGCAATGAGGCGATAGCCACCTTCATAACGTTGCTGAAGACGACCAGTCCGACGCTCATTTTCGTGAGATTCTTGGTTGTAGTATTGCCAGGGTTTCGGGAACTCAAATCTCGACGATGGCTGGAGGAATTAAAGGGTGTTGGGCGTGAAATTTGGGAAAGGAAAAAGAGGGTGAAGAAATGACAGAAAGTATGGCAATCGGGATGGTGTAGTTGCAGTCGGTGAAAAAAAAAATTGAATTTTGACAACTATATGAAATCGTGACACGTGGCGGGCCAATGTTTTGCCTCTTTTATTTTATAGTGAAATGAGTTTTGTAACAGTTATTTTTTAGAGAATGTGCGGTTAAAATGTGGGAAAATTTTTGGGATAAGTGTAAAATTATTTTATCCGGACAACGTATGGTTGAAAATGAGTTATTAGATAATGGGGCAACAGGGGCTTAACTCTGTTTTCTTCTCTTTTTGAAGTATTTACAGGTTTCGAATCAGTCATATCATATGTTTTGATGTGTTTGTCGTTTGTGTTAAATTCATGCCTACCACCATTACTTTATTTCCTTTGTGTTGTTGAACATGAAATAGCAATTTTAGACACTTGTACAATTGTAAGACAAGTTACTTTTATTAAAAGGAGACAGTAAAAAAAATTAAATTTTTTCCCCTTGAACTGTGTTTTTCATTGGAATGAGATATATGGAAATTTTTCCTCCATCAGTTGCTTTATTTATCCTTACTAAGGGCAGATAGGAGACCAAAAATATTGTGGGCATAAAGAAAAGATTTGATTTTGTTAATGTTGCCTACTGATATGTCTTGTAATTTATGCATTTTGATATTTGCTAGATTTCCCTTCTAAAGTTCCTATAGATGTTATTGTTGAGGAAATGAACTATAATGTAAACATTCAATTCCTTGTTACTTGAATTATGATAGCTCCATGAGTTGATTTTCTTATCATTGTTGTCCATGTCCTATAGCTGTTGAATTCTTGTTGTGCTCCTATTTACCCTTTGAAATATTTTCGTTTTCTAAAGGCTATGCTATTTGTCAGGTTTATTATTACGTTGCTCTGTATTTTCTTTCTAAAAGTTGATGGTATGTGTGCAGATATTGTCTACACGTCTTGGTAGGAAGCCTGAAGATATCGTAAAACTTGATGCGAATGAAAACCCGTACGGTCCACCACCAGAGGCAAGGCTTATGTTGCATAAAGTCTTCTTTTATGGATGATACCAAATATTACCAATATCTTACTATGGGATTCTCTCTCTTGTGCTGGTTTTAATTTTCTTTGCACATTTTTTTATAACAATATCTCAATTTCTTGTAGGTTTTAGAAGCTTTGGGGTCCATGAGATTCCCTTATATTTATCCTGACCCTGAAAGCCGTAGTTTACGAGCAGCACTTGCTGAAGATTCAGGCATTGAATCTGAATATATTCTTGCTGGCTGTGGTGCAGATGAATTGATTGACTTGATTATGCGGTTTGGGCACTATGCTTTTCGAAATTTTCACATAACTTTATTTTTTTTATTTTCTTTATATTACAAAGTTTGATCTGTACGTATCTGTCTTTTTTGATTTGCCTGCAGATGCGTATTGGATCCTGGTGACAAAATCGTGGACTGCCCACCAACCTTTACGATGTATGAGTTTGATGCGGCTGTTAATGCTGCACTTGTCATCAAGGGTAGGTACAAGCTTGGTCAATTTTACATCTCATCTACCTTAAGTTCTTAATTTGAGGCTGATTTTCATCTTTTATGTGGATTCTTTGATATATTATGTAAGTCCCTCCCCCTCAGTTATCCTTGGCATTCTCATTTTTCTGGCCTCGTGCCTAATATCTTACCAGTTGTAATAAATCAAAAATAAAAAATGGCTCAAGACAGAAATGTTGAGGTAGATTTGCAGAAATTTTTTAACTCAAAATATGATTTGGCAACTTGAGCCAAACTGTTTCGTTCTCATTCAATATCATCCTCACTTTTGGCAGTGTCTCGGAAGTCAGACTTCAGCTTGGATGTAGAACGGATTGCTGAAGTTGTTGAGCAGGAGAGACCTAAGTGCATATTCCTAACTTCACCTAATAATCCAGATGGGAGGTATCATGCGATGAGTCTATTTGTATTTCGGTCCTTTCTCTTGTTTTCTGCTGTTAAAATTTCAAACCATGCTTTGAGTACTGTATGTCAGGTCATTAATTTTGACATATTTGTTACAGGTTTTCTTTGTCAAGTTTTTTTTTTAATTACACGCTACATATTTCAGTGACAAGTCATTTTTGTTGATATGAACTATTCGGAGTCAATATATTCTTAGCACCCATTTGGCCTCCATTATTCAACATTATAATTAGAGGAATAGTAATTTTTTGGAGAATGTGTGGTTCAAAAAGAAGGAATTTTTTTTGGGTTTACGTATAATATTATTTTATTGGAGAATGTGTGGTTGATAAGAAGATAGAAAAAAATGAATTATAATTTAATGAGGAGTAATAGAGGCCAAACGGGAAGTTAGTATCTACATTGTTTCAGGTGTCTGCTCTGACATGATATGATTTTCAGTAGTAACAATTATGTTGTGCTATATACGTCTTATTGTTTGCACTGACTACCAGTGGACAGGAAACATGTTCGATGCGTAGGAATACCAGTCAGTTCCTTTTCAGAAATTATAATTGAGTTTTAAATATAACAACAAACTAGGTCTTATTTCCTATAAATTTGGACCTTGGCAATTGAGTTTTAGAATGTATCTAAAAAATTTGACCCATCGAAAAATAGTTAAAAGTAACATATTTGTTAACAATAAAATGTGCAAGCAAAAAGTTTCCCCCCTCCCTGTCCAACCCCAGACCATAGGCACTTTATAAGGGTTAGTAGCTTTTATGATACTGTAATGGAGACTTAAAAAAAGGACATTTTTCACTACAGTAGAATGGATACATGGCTTGATCTTGCAAGGTGAAATCTTAAAAAACTTGAAAACGATTAGAAAAAGGACAAAAAAGCTAGAAGTAGAATGAGATGAGGGCATATAACATCATGAGCTATGGTTGTGTAAAGTCAGAGTAGGAAAAGAGAAGTGTTGTTATATGTGACTGCATCTACATTCTTACAACTATGTTTCTAATAATTAATATCTGAGTTATTTTAATACGATAATACCATGCTTCATAGTAAAGAAGACAGTTCCATGAACAATAATCAAATTGTTTTATATGGTCCATATTGTAGATTATGGGTGGTTGTACAGAGTAACGAGACTTTCAAAGTTCAAAATTTTTGATTGAATATGCGGCTTGTGCAATTATATCAATTTGTTGCTTAATTACTAATTTGCAGTTTTTTTTTTCCATTTTATTATTATGGACGGATGTAAATTTTGTCTTCCTTTTACGTTTCTTATATTCCAACGTATATTTTTTTCTTGTTTGACAGTATAATCAATGATGAAGCCCTTTTGAAAATACTTGCTCTGCCTGTATTGGTTGTGCTGGATGAAGCGTACATTGAATTTTCTGGAATTGAGTCTAGGATGAGCTGGGTGAAGAAGTATGAGAATCTAATAGTACTTCGGACATTCAGCAAAAGAGCTGGTACTGTACCTTTTTATTCCAAAGAGCTGACATTATGGAAAATGAATATTCAAAGGATTTAAAACTGTAATTTTATGGAAGAGCTAAGCGTGCTATGGGTTTAACATTGATCATGGAAGATTACAGGCTCATATGTATGCTCCAACTACTTCCCTATGCCATCTAGTACATACTTTCCACTTTAGTAACCATAAGACTAAGTTACTAAGACTTGTTTAGTAGAACAATTTCCTTGTACGAATCCAAAACATATTCTGAGAATAGCCTAGTGATTCAAGTTAATCTTGCAATATATTATACTGATTTTAGTTACAAAGTTCCTAAGAGATTTCATGGCATTCAGAAATGTAAAGAACCCTCAAGAAACTGATACTAAACTCAAAAAGAGGGCCTAAACTTGGTCAGCTCTGAACTAAATATGCACATCTCAAATTCACATCAAAATTTGAAGCAACTTCGAGTCCAACACTTCTATTTATAGTTGCTCATTCTTTAGTTTTAATGGGTAGCTTCATTAGGTTCTTGCCTCTGAATTAATCCTATCCTCATCCTTAACAGACCGTGTATAAAAAACATTTTAGCATGCAGTTTGTGTGAATTTGAGATCACTCACGCTTATTATTAATACCCGGTGATTCAGGTTTAGCAGGAATTCGAGTTGGATATGGAGCATTTCCATTGAGCATTATTGAATATTTATGGAGGGCCAAACAACCATATAATGTGTCCGTTGCTGCTGAAATTTCTGCATGTGCAGCCTTGAAGAATCCCATGTATCTAGAGGTACAATAAGAAAAACTTGTCTGGCAATTGCCTCTTGTTTGTGGACCTTGAGAGTGCATAAAGTACCTATCTTTGACTTTGGATGTTACTACTTATTACACCATCTATTCCAGAATGTTAAAGTGGCTTTGGTGCAAGAAAGGGATCGACTCTTTAAACTTTTGAACGAAGTACCATTTCTCAATCCATATCCAAGCTATTCTAATTTCATTCTTTGTGAGGTTACATCTGGAATGGATGCTAAGAAGTTGAAGGTACAAAACTTTGCCTTGCTTTCAGGGTTCTTGTTGGTCTATATATATTATGTTTTTGTTTTCCCTTAATTCCATTAAGTTCTGGACCTGTATTGCTTTTGGCTTATTTATGTGTTCTATTTTTGTTATTCTCTTGGGCTTGATTTCTAAATCCAAACTGTACATGCAGAATTTCCTTTTTAATTCAGAAACTATATCAAATGAAATCGAAATACAAGAAAAAAATGTTGCATGTATGCTGTCTCTTGTGCTTTGTGTTTTCATCTCTTCACTTGGGAAAAATATAAAAGTCACATTGGCAATGCTGCTTATTACAGGAAGACCTTGCGAAAATGGCTGTGATGATTCGTCACTACAATAATAAAGAACTATCTGGTTATGTTCGGGTCTCTGTTGGGAAGCCCGAGCACACTGATGCCTTAATGGAGTGTCTCAAACGCCTATATTAATTGTTTTCGTGCAGTGGGTTAGAATGAAATTTTCTTTGCTTCAAAGGTTTAATGCATGTGGAAACGGCCTTGTGATCAAGGACCTCATTCGGTAAAATACCAGTTAACTATCATTCTTTGATAAAGAATTAATTTTCCAGGGATTCGACTAGAATCTTTGGGTATATTTACTATGTTGAATTAGACAACTGTCTTTTACTATTGTTACGGGTTAAAGAACAGGACGGACACGTGGCGTCACGTCACGACGGTGGGACCGGCTTGATTCGATCAGGATATCATACTCTATCTTCAGATGTGAAGTTCCGAGGCCCTGGCTACCAATCCGAGGCCCTCGTAATTACTCCGAGGCCCCTCNAAAAGAGGGCCTAAACTTGGTCAGCTCTGAACTAAATATGCACATCTCAAATTCACATCAAAATTTGAAGCAACTTCGAGTCCAACACTTCTATTTATAGTTGCTCATTCTTTAGTTTTAATGGGTAGCTTCATTAGGTTCTTGCCTCTGAATTAATCCTATCCTCATCCTTAACAGACCGACATATTTTTTGTAAAATCGTACGTTTTTGTGTGAATTTGAGATCACTCACGCTTATTATTAATAACTGGTGATTCAGGTTTAGCGGGAATTCGAGTTGGATATGGAGCATTTCCATTGAGCATTATTGAATATTTATGGAGGGCCAAACAACCATATAATGTGTCCGTTGCTGCTGAAATTTCTGCATGTGCGGCCTTGAAGAATCCCGTGTATCTAGAGGTACAATAAGAAAAACTTGTCTGGCAATTGCCTCTTGTTTGTGGACCTTGATAGTGCATAAAGTACCTATCTTTGACTTTGAATGTTACTACTTATTACACCATCTATTCCAGAATGTTAAAGTGGCTTTGGTGCAAGAAAGGGATCGACTCTTTAAACTTTTGAACGAAGTACCATTTCTCAATCCATATCCAAGCTATTCTAATTTCATTCTTTGCGAGGTTACATCTGGAATGGATGCTAAGAAGTTGAAGGTACAAAACTTTGCCTTGCTTTCGGGGTTTTTGTAGGTCTTTATATATTATGTTTTTGTTTTCCCTTAATTCCATTGAGTTCTGGACCTGTATTGCTTTTGGCTTATTTATGTGTTCTATTTTTGTTATTCTCTTGGCCTTGATTTCTAAATCCAAACTGTAGATGCAGAATTTCCTTTTTAATTCAGAAACTATATCAAATAAAATCGAAATACAATAAAAAAATGTTGCATGTATGCTGTCTCTTGTGCTTTGTGTTTTCATCTCTTCACTTGGGAAAAATATAAGTCACATTGGCAATGCTGCTTATTACAGGAAGACCTTGCGAAAATGGCTGTGATGATTCGTCACTACAATAATAAAGAACTATCTGGTTATGTTCGGGTCTCTGTTGGGAAGCCGGAGCACACTGATGCCTTAATGGAGTGTCTCAAACGCCTATATTAATTCTTTTCGTGCAGTGGGTTAGAATGAAATTTTCTTTGCTTCAAAGGTTTAATGCATGTGGAAACGGCCTTGTGATCATGGACCTCATTCGGTAAAATACCAGTTAACTATCATTCTTTGATAAAGAATTAATTTTCCAGGGATTCGACTAGAATCTTTGGGTATATTTACTATGTTGAATTAGACAACTGTCTTTTACTATGTTTGGCTAAGTTAATAAAAAATCACTTATAAGTTAAAGTCAGTTTTTTAAATAAATAGTTATGCCAACTGTCTTTTGTTTTGTGTCAAAGATCTCATGAAGACTACTTCAAATAGAAGACTAGTTTTGAGTGGGCCGCCAGCCATGGACGTAAGATGATTGAAGAGGGTAGGTTATAATTTAACGATTTAATTGTTTTCTACTCTCTCGTTGATTGTAAGCACTTGAGCCCACTCCTCTAATACGACACAATTATTTATTTATTTTTATTGATGTAAGTTGAAAAATAAGGAAATTAGTTATTCGGACAATAGCGTGGATTATACTTAAAAAAATATCATTTTTTGTTTAAAAGTAAGAAAAACGTATTTGGTCCACATTATTTTTTTCATTTTTATTCTTCTACTTATTTTTAACTACACATTCTTCAATAAAATAATATTTTACATCACATCAATAACTTTTCCTTTTTTTTCAACCACATATTCTCCATCACCTCAACAGTAAAAATGCATTCTTACCTTCAAAATGTGCACCAAACGGGGGCGTAAGCTGGAGAAAGTGTTGGCTTAATTAGGATGAGCTGGGGGAAGAAGTATGATTATCTAATTGTAGTTCGGACATTCAGTAAAAGGGCTGGTACTACACCATTTCATTTCGAAGAGCTAAGCATTATATGACGAAGCTTCAAAAGATGTAATGAAGTTTCCATAATCTTATGGAAGGAATAAGCATGATATAAGTTTAAAATCGATTATGGAACATCGGACACTAAAGACTCCAAAGTTTGAGGCCGTAGCCACAAGACGAAGAGTCTAGGCTAGATGCCTAGGCATTAAGAGAGCCCCATGGGGTCCGACTTCCGAGGGGGAAGCTTGCAAGTTGATGAGCACAGGACGGTGAGTCGAAGATATTCTGGTGCAAATATTTAGTGATAGACATTGTATATCGTGATATCTTGACAAATCGGGTGTCAAGCAATCTTGTCGAAATGTCACACATTATCTCACCACATAAAGAAAGATTAATGACTTGATGAGATCAGACAAGCAATTTGGTGCCCTGACGATTGCTATCTTGGGTTACCTTGTAAGAGACACGTGTGGAAGTGACCTCATTCAAAGACCTACTTCGAGTACGTGATAGGGACATGTCGACCATCCGCTCATTGGCAACTAACAAGAGAAAAAGAACCATTCAGAAAGTTGAAATCTTTATCTCACATTGCACTCGATAAACACAAATATAAATCACATAAAAAAAAAATTCAAACGTGATAGGTGCAGATGATTTTTGCACCTCCTTCGAGGCATCAATTTTGCATTCTAACGGTTTCATAACGTGTAGGTGCTATATTGGTGGATAGAGACGTGACAACACTAAGTAGACTTTGTGGTTGGACAAATTTTGAGGTCAACGAAATGTATCCAAAAATTATGATTAAATATTAATGAAGAAATTTTGAGTCACTTTCCAGGCAACATATTCTTCTTTGCACGAGCAAAAAGGGGGAGAAAGCCTATCATTTTGTTCGAAGTTACCCGTATTATGAGGCGCATCCACAGGGAATGAGAAGGATACGGATTTGATTAATTATAAGTTCAAAACAAACCTAAAAAGTTTAAAAATTTGATGTTTTAATTAAATATGGCTTATAGGTTTAATAGACCTTTTCGGCTACCAAATGCCAGCTCTAATTTAAATTAAGTTCTCTAATTATTAATCATTGAACCGATATCACATGAGCTTCTCCCACGACAAGCAAAAAATTGACAGGACCATGCTACACATACAAAGTCAATGGTCCCCCTGGCAAGTACAGGGCCACAGATTTATTCAAATTGACATTCCTTGGCCAAGGAATTTCAAGTCACATGTTTTGTATTATGTATTAAAATGCGTCTGATGTTGTGGGACACGTAATGGATATGTTGGTGCCTTACAAATTACAATATATTGATAAGTGTATTTTCTACACTTATTCGAGATTTAAAACTATATAATTTTATTGTTCTTCTAGCAAAAAACAACCTAAATTGTGCTATATTGTATCTTGTAGATAAAACTCAATGTTTGATGAAGAAAAGGAGAAAAGAGTGCAAAATAATGAAAAAATGGCAAAAGTCAAATTACGAGGACTAAATTGCATTATATTCGAAAGAGTGGAGAAAGTGGAGAAATACACATTAATTGGGCCCAACTTGAATCTAAATGGGCCAAACCAAGTGGCCTAGCGTGTCTTTATATGCATATATATTTATACAGAGACGGAGGAGGAAGAACGAGAGAGCAGCCGGGCAGAAAACATTGGAGAGAGCAGCCGGGCAGAAAACATTGGGGAGACAAAAATAGCAGAAGCGCCGGCTGAAAGGAAATTGAGCAGAATTGTGGGTGCCCTATTCCATCTTTATACACATATTGGTGGGGATTAAGGGCTTAATTAAAGGGATTAGCTGAGCAGAATATAGAGGAAAAGGGGCTGCTGGATAGAGGATTGAAAGGGGCTCCAACCGGCAGAAAAGAAGTGGAAAAAAATTGAGAAGGAATCATAATTGGTGGCTGCCCTATTTTATTAGTTATACACACAATTAAAGGGCGATTAGAGGCTGACTTAAAGGCAGATTAAAGGGCTGATTAAGGTGCTGAAATGGATTGAAAACTGGCAGGAAAGTGGGCTGAATTGTGATAACATTGTGCTGAATTTTGTATATTATATCTATATATATACATATACAAGGCAGCAAGGTTACACATAAAGTGGCGGCTGAAATATATAGAATTCACAAGTGGCCGGCAACTTTGGGAGTACAATAGTGGGCGGTGGCTGCTGAATTTACATTTTCACATACGGACAGAAACAAATTTTGGAAGAAAATAAAAGACGGACACGGCTGGGCAGGGGAATTAATCACTTATCGAATATTAGGTGATGTCGTTCCACTTCTTTGTGTTTAATCTTGATAATATGCTGGCTAAATTCCCTTGTATTGGATGGATGATGAAGCTATTTGATTATTAGTTTTTATAATTCGAGACCACGTGTTTTTAATTTAATTCTTGCTTTGTGATTTCATAAACATATATGAATTTATTGTTTTAATGTTTGCGCACCATTAGGACAATTAGTTGCTTATTCGTAGTGTTGGAAAACTCACGGTAAGACGAACACTGTTTATGGAACACACGGACAATAAATATTAGGGATAATATTTATGGCGTGTGCGGTCATGTTTGATAATCCTAAACGTCAATGCATGCTTGTCATATGAATTCGGACTAGGAATAGGATCGTCTCGTGGCAATCATAGGTTTATTATATCTTGGGAAAGAATAGTAAATGAAAGTGGAATTATCGATCGTCGCAAATGCATGAATTGAATTAATTATTACTGGTTGAGAATTGAAACTAAGAATTGATTAGTGGAGTTGGAAATTCAATACACTCTCCCTCATTTGATTTAAATCCATTTTTTATTGCTTTCGTAGTTATAGAACGTAATTAAATTCAAACCAACTATCTTTTGTTACACTCGCGAATTTAGATATATTGAATACTCTAAAATTGAGCCTTATTCCCCGTGGGACGATAATTCACTCATCACAATTATTACTTGTACAACGAACTCGTACGCTTGCGAGATTTTTGCGTATATATATATATATAATTAACTCAATTTGGATTAAAGATGAAATGATTATTCTACATGTATTTCAGGGTATACACCGTAGTGTACATAATATCCAAGTGTCATTTCATCTTTGGCTAATAGAAAAAACTATTTTTTCACCCGCCAATGGTTATATGCTACTTGGCCATTATGGATACCCGAGTATAAACCCTGATGTAATAGATGAAATTCTACAAGCTGAACCCATCAAAAGCACTTTATAGGAACTACAAAATCAACTCAATGATGCCTTCGACATTCGAGGATCATGACTCGATTATAGAATCTTATTCTTCAAATGGAATATATTAACTCTTTGCTCACAAGTGGTATTTTACTATTTTTAAGATAAAAGAATTAGACAAAATAGAGGAAAGCTCTCCGGTCTTGACTCTTGAGTCTCCCATAATGGCAACTATTAATTTTGTTTCTTTCCTTTTGTTTTCTTTAGCTGGCGATAAAAGAAAACAATTAAAAACTAGTAGTTGGTAATCAATCACAATATTAATATTAATTACAGATTACACTTCCAAATGGAATGAGATTAGAAGGATAACTGACTCCTAATTGAGAAAAAGAGGACAATTAAATAATGTATTATTGACATTACAATTAGTTTATGTTATTTCTGGCTTCTTATGTAAGTCATTTTATGTCTGTGTGCAACACTGCTTTTAAGGTGTGTACATTACTTTTAGAGCATGTTTGGTCAAGTTTAAAATTCAATTAAAATTGAAAATATAGTCGTTATTGAGTCCCACCCGTCTAATAAAAGTCAATAATAACGGCTAGTTTTTCAATTTTAATATCTACCGAACACGCCCTTAATTTCTTGATTTTTTTGTCTTAGTATTTATTTTTTCGTCGATGTTTACATTTCTCCTAATTTCTTGATCTCGTTTGCATGATGTGGAAAAAAATGGCTATACACAACCAAAATTTCTTTTAAACCATATCAAAAATAACTTGCAAAAACAGATCGATTTTTATCGACTCTTTTTGGATCTTAGTCTAAATTAGTTTGCAAACCCATCAATGGTTGTCACTAATTTGCATCGAGTCCCCTTCATGGCCTAAGCAGGCAAGTGGAACTAAAATGATAACAAATTTAATTGACTCATATGGACCACAAGTAAATTGAAATTCGTAATTGATTTTTGTAGTGCTATCAAACTTCAGAGATTCGAAGCACATCTTTTGTTGTTTTCATTGTTTGAAGCGATTGTTATTACCACTAAAAAAGCTTGCTAATGTACTTTACAAAAAATATGGCATGACCCTAGACCTATGCTGCTTGGCCATTGTGACAGTTCGAGTTGAGATAGGTCTATGCTGCGAGCGAGCTATAATGTCAAATCAAACACCTTCGACCTTCAAAGGTAGACCAGTCCAAACAGGCTAGGCACCCCACATTTTTCGAATCGAACCTTCTTGGTACAAAGAATCAAACAACAAACTTAACTAGTCTCGTCACGACATGCTTTCTTTTCCTCGTGAACTTGTATTCCTCATTTCACGCAAGAATCAGGTTTTACTATGTGGTGTGGACTGGACAGGTATATCTACTGGTCCAACACCAACAAAAACTTATAATTAACTTATACAAAGAATAATTGAGAAAAAAACCCAGCCAATCCAACTCGTCCACACTTTTCTCCTCTCTTTATTCTCTCTCCGGCAATTACCCGACTACCAGAAAAAGAGCACACCACTGTCGGCACGCCCAGATCTGAACCTTAAACAATATTTCTCTCCTACATTCTTAAATCTTAACCTTAAATCAGATCCAATTCTTGCATTAATTTCACTTAGAAATTAAATGGATTCTTCACGCAAGAGAAAACGTATATTAAGACCCTCATATTATTCATCATATACTTCGGTATATTTGTTTTCCCTAAGATCTTTTGTATTGTGCTTCAGCTTCTTTATGTTTCTGTATCTTATATCTTATACGATTCCCTTAAACTCTTCGGCCTTTCACCCGGTTTTAGTGGTTTCAAGCTTAGCTTCTTCTAGTTCGAATCTTGCTAAAAGAATCCAAGAGTTTGATGATTCTTTTACTTTTCCATGGAAAATCGAGAACCGGGTTTTGTTCCCTGATCATGTTTTGTTGTTAGTAAGTAGTTTAAAGAAAGATGGGTTGATAAAGAAGAGTGCTAAAGAATTGGAATGTGTTTATTGTGGTAAAAATGTATTGGAAAGTCGTAGTAACTGGAGTTCTGGAGAAAGGTATAGGGGTATTATGGTTAAGCAAAATGTGCTTTCTGTAGATGAATATGATGAGTTCAGGTCGATTGTGAGGTGCCCACTTCCATCTGTGAATTATTCAACTGTTGTAAATTTGGGGAGGAGTGGTAAAAATGGAGTCTTGGAGGAAGATACTGGGTTATCGATGAATAATCAGACCGTTCATTCTTGGGAAAATTTGGTTTATGCAGCTAGTTTGGATGGGGATACTGCTGTGGTGTTTGTGAAGGGATTGAATTTGAGGTCGGACAGAGAATCAAATCCGAGGCAATTCAGTTGCCATTTCGGATTAGGGAGTTGGGAAACTGATGGGAGATTTATGCTGCGGACGAAAGCTTTGAAAGCTGCTCAGGAGGTTGTGAGATGTTCATTGCCACGGAGCGTACAAGCTAATCCGGCTAAGGCACGAGGAATACGAGTGACTGTTGGAATGATACCCTATGGTCGTTCTCGAATTCAAGAGCGTGCGCTTGTGCCTTCTGTGGCCAAGATTTCTGGTTTCAAGTCCGAGGAGAAGAAGAAGAAGAAGAGCGAGGGCAAGTACGAGCTTTGTGTGTGTACAATGGTGTGGAACCAGGCGTCTGCCCTTCGTGAGTGGATCATGTACCATGCTTGGCTTGGAGTGGAGAGGTGGTTCATTTACGATAACAATAGTGATGATGGTATTGAAGAGGTTATTAGGGAACTTGATCTAGAGGACTACAATGTCACTAGGCACGTATGGCCATGGATTAAGACACAAGAAGCAGGGTTTTCGCATTGTGTTTTGAGAGCAAAGGATGAATGCAATTGGGTTTCATTCATGGATGTAGACGAATTCTTCTACTTTCCATATTCAACACCAAGACACAAAAGATTCAGGAAATTGGGTTACGCGGGGCAGAATTCACTTAGCACCTTAGTAGCAAATGTTTCGTCATCGTCAAGAAGTATTGCTGAAATCAGAACTTCTTGCCACAGCTTTGGACCCTCGGGGTTGAACTCTCCACCCTCGAAGGGAGTTACAGTAGGTTACACTTGTCGACTTCAGAGTCCCGAGAGGCATAAATCAATCCTTCGACCAGACGCGCTAGATACCTCACTCCTCAATGTGGTGCACCATTTCCACTTGAGGAAGGGATTCAAGTATCTGAATTTACATCAGAGCACTGCAGTAATTAATCATTATAAATACCAAGTGTGGGAGGTATTTCGAGCTAAGTTTTACAGACGGGTTGCTACGTACGTCGCTGACTGGCAACAAAACCAAAATGAGGGTTCAAGAGACCGAGCACCGGGGTTAGGGACGGATGCCATCGAACCGCCTGATTGGCCAATCAAATTTTGTGAGGTTTGGGACACTGGGTTGAGAGATTTTGTTTTGACCAATTTGGTTGATGTTTCAACAGGTTTGTTGCCCTGGGAGAGGCCTTCCTCTCTTGCTATTTAGGTATGGTAGCCTTGAAATCAGCTCCTAGTGTAAAGGAGGAATTCACCCTATGATCATTCATTATTTTTCTTTTCTTGATTGTTTAATTTTATACTTTGTATCTGATCCTCTTGTTTTTGTATACAAAAGATGAGAAAGGCCGTAGATTTAGATATAGAAATGTTGTACTGCTGTAATTCTGATGATATATGTAACTCGATTTGTTCCCCTTTCTACTTGCGCTGATGAATAATTTAGCGATTTATACCCTTGTTATCGACGTTTACGGACTATGAAAATTACCAATTTTCTAGCTATTTTGGCGCAAGAATGAAAAGTCGAATTGGTATTGAAGATTTACAAAGCAGGGAATAAACTGGGTTGATGATCATTCATTCAAATATAATTAGATATTCCCACAGAAAATACTTTTGAACAAAGATTTGCAATTTCATAAGAAAAAGAACCTGAACCATGTCCCCCCTGTAAAACAATATCTACAGCAATGTTGAGTGTTGTGTAAAAGGAAGCAAGATTCTACATAAAAAAATAAAAATAAATAAAAATTAAAACAAATTTCTTGAAAGGATGATAGATTCGAGGGCTGGACAGGTCAGTCAATAGCCTCTTCCGTGATGCAACTGCAGTCTCATTTTATTTTCTGGCAAATCGAATCTTGCACTTTAATCCTGCAGCAGGTCGCAATCTGATGGTGATAATTCGAGTAGCTTTTTATTGCTGGAAGCAATTATTGGGCACCAAAATGAAAAGGATCAAACTGGAGCAAATCCAAGCTTCATTTCTAGTTCGACAAAATTTCAATACGACTTGAATAATACAGCACAAAGTGAGATGACATTTACTGAACATAATAAGATGGAAAATGCTAAGTGTACATAATAAGTGTACACAATCTTTGACACAATGTGATGTGGCAACAATCCTGTGATTGATGTGAAAGTGTCAGATTTGAATTAAANGTGGTTGATGTGAAAGTGTCAAATTTGAATTAAAGGTTTCGATCAATGCCACTTGTAATTGTATAGACCATTATGTAAACTATTATATACATGTAGCATTACTCTAATAAGATTTCCCATCACCAAGGCAAACAGGGATGTGTACATTTTTGACCATGCAATTATGAAATGATCTTCTAAACAGCTTTTGTTCTCATGCATTGTCACCTTATAATGATGAAGACTTAGCAATAAATCTTTCTCAAATGATAGAATGAACACAAATCTTGAAAATTAGATTTGCTTCTCATGATTTAACAAAAATAATCATCCTATGAATCATTACAACGTTGTCTTTTATTAGGATCGATATTTGAAGCACTAAGATAGTTGTTATCTGAACAATACGTAATAATTAGTTTATAGTGTGTTGTTTTACTTGTGCATGTATTATTAGTCGAGACACAAACATTATTGGAGGAAATCTATTAATGTGAAGAAATACCTTGAATAATGACTTCAGGAATCATATACCAAAAGGTTTTCAGATATGGGAATAAGGTTTCAACTCCTTTCTTCCACTGCCAATGGAATTCTGTCCACAACCTTTGCAAGTGTAGCATCTAACTTATCTCCAATTAATGTGATCCATGCCTGCAAAACATGAAAAAGGAAACTGATGATGTTAGCATCATTAGGAAATTAATTTTAACGATGGCAAGAATAATTGTACCAAGCATGATATCAGATGACAATTTATGGTTAATGAGTATAGATTCAGGTTTGAACAATAAATTTAGCTATGAATTAAATGAAGGAAAATAAGCACACAACTGTTTCTACAAGCCAATTCATTAATAACAGAAGAAATAAAATAAAAGAACATTGGTCATTCAAAATTTGAAAAGGAAATGCATTCAGATACAAAGTAGATACAGAGAGGAATGCTGTGATGAATATGCATCACAGATAGACAAATACATCAGAAAGATACCTGGTCAGAAGATGTAAATCCCCTTATTGTGTCACCACCGACTACAGCAATTCCTTTATCCCCAAGGGGTTGCAAGATAACAGCCTAAAAATATCATAATTTTCCCAGCAATTACTCTGCGAGCATGGATTTGTGTATGTAATCAAAAGAGGGTTATGCTACATGTACATCATATTTTACCTAATCTTTTACACCCCACTCACACCAAAAGGTGGGGACCACGAGCCGACTTTTTTAATACACGTGGGGGCCACGTTTTTTGTGAGGGGGCTACAAAATTCGGTACCCCCCTTTTCGGTACAAGGGGATAAACCCTAACTGAAAAATATTGCGTGGGGGTACAAAATTCGGTACCCCCCTTTTCGGTACAAGGGGATAAACCCATCAAAAGATTTTGCATATCCATAGGATAAAAAGAATGAGAACATAAGAATCTACATCTGTAAATAGATTAGGTCATGTATAATGAAATGCATAAATGGAGATTGCGAAAATCTATAGAATGGATGCGTTCTAAGTAGAGAATGTGAAAACAAAATTAGGAATTAAAATGTTATTGTTTATTGTGCTGCCTTAAGACTGAATAGCAATGTCAAAAGTAGATATCTATTACATAAATAACTGTAATTAGATAATATAACAAATTAGTTTGTACTTATAGACAGATTAGAAAAATTACCTGTGTGTTTGAAGGTAGAAATGGTAGCTCAGACTTCCCAGGATATAGAGATAAATTGGCCAAGTAACTTTCTGAAATATTCATGGAAATTTTTTGTAATTTCAAGATTTACTCAGCAACTAAAGCCTCAGAAGAGTATGGCTTAGTATGCAAATCAAACTATGGAAGGATCTTACGTGATCCAGATTTTATGACACCATTATAAAGAGAACCTAGCACCAATTTGTTGGCATCGACAACCATGGCTCCACCTTCATCGGAGGAAGATGCAGCAGCAAATCCTATTTGCAAAATGCAGATTCCATCATAAATAACAACTAGAGACCTGCAACATGTCGCATATGATAGAGACTCCCATGCCCTGAGAATAAGCTAATGGAGTGATCACTACTATACCGATTTTTCACCGAATTAAGAAACATATTTTACTTTGAACTTTTTGTGTAAAAAGATCAATACCAGATTAACTCAGAAATGACAGAATCAGGAAGATCAGAAAATATCCTTTGGCATTCCACCCCTTCAGGATTTACCTGAAATTTGAAGGGTAAACGTAAAATAGATTCTGCAACTGCAGAAAAAGAAAATGAAACTAATACATCGGGGTAAAAATGGGGAGAAAAACAATTAATGAACATATAGCGTCCTCACCACAGATATAGATTTTGGTTTAATTGAAAGCCATACAAGACCATTTAAAATACAAGTTACACCCAAACCAAGTGTCAATAGATCTGCTCTGGATTGTGAACTGCAGAAAAATGAAAATGGGAACACTTAGCATTTCGAAATAAAAAAGTAAAGATGATATCAAAGATGTTCTCAAACTATAGCAGTCCCTATGGTAATCATCAATCATCAACTAGTAGAAATACATCTCCACCATCCAAAAACCTGAGCAAACGTACTTCTAGATTTACAAGGGCCATTATACTCTATCAAAAGATTATCTCATGGAAAATAGGGAAGGGGAAGATTCACAGCTGCTAGTTCTTTAAAATTAATATTGGACGCGTTCCTGAATATTATTTTTTGGTGATGAATGATTTTATAATTTTCTTGTTCCCCCGGTCAACATTCCAAATGTTATCTCCAATTCTGTAAGTTATTCAGTTGATGGACTACTATGCATATCTCCCTGAATATGCCACATCCTTGGTTTGTTTGATTAATTCTAAAGAAGATATTCTTGATGAGCTGCCAAGTTATTGAAATCACTCAACCAGCACAAGAACAAGTCTTTAAAACAAAGACAAAAAGCACATGGGAAATGAAAAGAACCTGTTTCCATGGAACAAACTTTCCTTCTCTCATTTTCACATCCTCATCGATCCATTTCCATTTCAAACAAATATCCTCCAATCGCACCTCACCTGTCTCTAAACATCAGTGTCTGACCTTACAAGTATTGCTCTTGCTGAGGCTGATAATTCCATTCTCCAATTCTTGCCCTTAGTGCACTCTCTCTTCCTTTATTAATTCAAATATTCTTAATAAACACTTTCATCCTGTCTAAAGTTTCTTTCCTTTTCACATAAACTAATCAAATTCAACCTTCAACCTCACCACATACTAAGTATCCAACAATCCCATATATAACTTAATCATGCATTGCCACTAAAATCAAACCATGGATAAGATTTAATTTCTGTTCGTTTCTTTCTTAAGCAGAAAAATTTCTTCAACAGGAAAAAATAATGGAATTTTCATATGCTTACCTGCTGGCGTCAGCAACAGGAGCAATGCCAGAAACTGTACGATTGAAAAGAACAGCCAATAGAGATATTCCGCCGACGTATATAGGTAAACTCCGTACTACGCCGTCGTTTTTAGACACCAAATCGGCCACCCATTCCCTCTTTGGCTTCGGCCCTCTATAATCTCCCTTCATTTTTCCACCAGAAATATCAGTAAAACTTTGCAATTAACACAAAAATAAGATATAATACAGTGATTATTGTGTGCTGAATTGAACCTGAGAATTGAGAGAAGCCTTAGCGGAGCGCGGGAAAGAGGAGGGACGAGAAGCGAGACGACGTCGTTGGAAGTTTAACGGAAGGACATAGCGAAGGAGAGTTCCCGCTTCCATCGATAATCCGTCGATTGTTATGTTGCTGATAATTTGTTTGGGGGTGGCAGCCATTTTTCAAAACTTATCCTAATTTGCAATTCCCTCCTCGACTTTTATTTTTTCTGACAATGTTGTTTTCGAACTTTCATGTGGTTCATATTAGGCGTGGGGTCAGATGGTTCGATCCCATTATTTTATAAATTGAAATTACTGATTAAATTTTCGATATTTTATAAATGGAACAATTTCGTTCCATGGAATTATTGTAACTAAATTGGAACCATTCATTTCCAATTCGAGTTCGCTCCTACCAAGACAATTATTTTATAAATAAAACACTAAAAAAATAATTATGAAGGTATATCTCTTATTTTGGTGTATTTTAAATGGTTCTATCAAACTTGCATGGTTCTCCTATAAAGAATAGTGGCTATGAGCTTGTTGATTTATTGTTCACTGCGGTTGTGATTCATTTTAACGCGTTGTACAATTTATCACGTTAAGTGTCAACTAAACTTGTGATTGTCACAGCAAATGATGAATATCATTATTCTTCAAGTTAACATAAAAAAGATGAATTACCTTCTATTTTACATAAAAAAAAAGAGAGCTAATTGTCTTCTTCAATGTTACAAAAATCGAATCGAATTGATCAATTGGTTCAGAGAAAAATGACATTAGTTCGCACATTTGAAATGAGTGAAAATGACAACTTTTGAGATGTATGTCTCACGAGTGGGGATAAGAACATATTTGATTATTAAGGGTCGGGAATGGAACAACTTATGAATTCATGATACTATACTTAATTCTTTGCGTACACATGTCGACTTTGCATTAGCAAAGTAGACTTTGATTACTGTATTGTGATTTTGAAGTTGTGCTTCGATTTAATATCACCATTTTAATTTTGAGATAAAATGTCAGGTTATTTAGCTAAATATTTTTGCATGCTTGTGTGTTTTTTTAAAGTTAGATTATGATTTTGTTTGAAGACAAACAAATGTTCAAGTTTTGGGGTTTGATAAGTGCATTTTATACTTATTCGGGGCTTTAAATAATGACATTTTGCAATTCTTTTGATGAATAGCTAAATTTGTGCTATTATTGTGTCTAATAGGTAAAACTCATGTTTTGATGAAGAATTGGAGAAAACAAGCGAAAAATACAGAAAAATGGCAAAATAAAAATATGGGAACTAAAATGCAATAATTCAATAGTTGTGTCGGACTGCAAGACAATAATTCAAGAATATCAAGAAACAATTGGAGGTGAAGAGAAGCCAACATGATGAAAAATTGTCGAAAAGGATCAAAATACACACTTCGAAAAGTTTAGGAACCAATATACAATTTGATCAAAAAATGTCAATACCATGTGTACACATAGGCCTGCAGGCCATGTGTACACTCTAATCTTATTTGGGTTGACCGAGGCTATTTGGAGTCTATTGTGTGTGCCACCAAATGAACCATGCGTACAAATGGTTCAAATTTCGGGAAGAAATTGTATTTCCTTATTTTGTTTTAGAAATTTTTGGTATGCAATTTTTCGGCACTCTATATATACCATAAGCCGTCCAAAACGTGGGAGAGATCTCTAGACCTAAAAATCTCTACATTCTATATATTTTGGAGGCGAAGAACGAAGCTTGATCATCAGACAGAGGCGGATTATTCAAAATTCTTGAAGCTTATTCAACCAAAATCAACATTTAATATACGCGAGTTGATTTCTCTACTTTCTTCCATCTTTTCTGGATTCAGGTGATGTTTTTCCATATTATATTGCATAATTTAATTAATAGGATGATATGATAGTTTTTCCTTTATATTGAATGAATGAGGAACCCTATTGTTTGTTTATTTTAATTCAATTTCCTATTGAACTATTTGATTGCTTGATCACTAATTAAATAATAACTTGCTTGTTGTAGTGTAGGAATACTCACAATAAGTGTAGAACGCGGTAAAATCAACACATTAACAATCGGTATTAGGAATAATATCTATGACATATGCTATCATGTGTGATAAATCCTGGGAATCAATACTTATTTTTCATATGAATTCGGATTAGGAATACGATCGGGTCGTGTTAAACATATATTTAATATATCTTTAAAAAAAAATTGAATGAAAGTGAATTATCAATTGTCTTAAATACATGAATTTACTAGATTATGAATTAAGAATTAAATTAAATGATAGTAGGGAAATTCAAGATTCCAATACAAACACACATGGTAGATAAAAACTTTATTTGCTTTCTTAATTTAGGATTAGTATAGAAAACATACAAATTATCTCTTTTGATATTACATGACTTCGAATTTGATAAAAGCTATTGAACTAGATATTAGACCTTTTTTCTCATGGGAATGATAAACTCGAAACTCATTGATTTCTATTACTTATCAACGATCTCATACGTTTGCAGGTTTTAACAGAACATATGTTTTTTCTATCTTCTGCTTTTCTCATAGTAAAATAAATTGATGTGACACAATAAATAATCCATTATGTTGAACATGTGAAAGGTGAACCAAATATTTCTTATATTTCTTATATTTGTTCTTGGTAAATAATCCATTATGTTGAACATGTGAAAGGCGCCTGAGCTAATATTTAGGGTAATTGAATACACAACGGCATTTGATGTATAATCTGTTGGCTATGTTCTTGCTGAACTTCTTTAAGGACCGATTCTTTACAAATCCTTGCACATTTCTCTTAAGAATCAAAGAATCATTGTAGTACAATTGATGATATTTTTTTTTTCATTAGTAGACTCTCTTTCTTGGTGAGAGTGGAGTCGATCAACTTGTGGAAATCATCAAGTTAACCTTGTCACCAATTTATATATAAGAGTATAAGCTTATATTTTATAAGAAACTAGTGAGTTTTGAAATAAAGGAGTTCGACCCAACTAACACCTAGACGGGGTGAATATGTATTTGTTCAGAATTTAAATTTACCAATTAATAAGTGCAACAAATCACAGTTATTAATTAATCCAGATGAATTCCCATGCACTACTATCCTATGTTGAATTGCAGCAGATAATAAATTACTGAAAAATAAAAAATACTTGAAAATTGTTGACGGAGAAAACCCGTAACTAGGTAAAAACTTCAGGTCCAAGCCAATAACAATCCACTATAAACAAATCAACTTACAGTACTGTCAGACTCGACTAACTCCAGTACTTTCTAACCTCCTGATTGTAATCACCAAATCATTCCTGGATTGCGTGCTCCTGTACCACTCCCGACCTTTTGAATTTGTCTATCTCTGTGGATCAATGAGATCTCCTCGTTCTCCAACAACTAGAAAATCCGGTCACCTTCTTTGATCTTCAGAACTTTGACGATGTTATGGAAGTAAGTATTTTGGTGTTTGGTTTATGTGAAGTTCATGTTTTTAAATGCAATGATGAAATCAATATGAAGGTTGAACTCTAAGAATGATATGGAGGAATTAATCTCTTGTTTCTCTCAATGTTCAACTATATTTTGTCGAATGGAGGCGTGCATATATATAGTGAAGAGGTTTTGGGTAGTATAGTCGGATAAAAACTTTGAAAAATGTGAATTAGGTTTTCCCTGGATATACTATCACTCGTGCGACAGGTGAGAAACGATGTGTCATTCGAGCGAAGTCCTGGCGACGGTGGGCGACGCAACTTCTATTTTTACCGCTAGAGCATTAACTGGGCGATAGGCTAGGGAAATTGTAGCTATTCTTTTCTCCTCGTTCCATACTTTAACCCATGGACTTCTAACTAACCACTTGACAAATTGACTTTTAAAAACTCTTTTACAATAATAGTTTTGTCAAAAGATTACAAACAACTTTAAAACCTGACAAACTTCCCCTTTGACATTATGTGATAAAACATATATTACAAATCAAATAGATTCAAGCTAATACACCCAAAACCAACTGACTCGGCTGAATTTTGCTTTTTCTTTGTCCAACACGTTTTATGAAAAACAACTCAAATATCAAGTGTAAAAACACGTGAAACAGTAGCAGGAATAAAAGAACTTGAGACAATTATTCATAAATTCAACAACATACTAGCTAAATTAAGATGCAATATCAATGTAATCCAATACACCAAAACTAAACATTGATATCATCAAACATCAAAACTTATTATAACTAAACATTCAAATATCATCTCCCTTTCAAAAAAAATCTCCCACCTACTATAAAATAAACTAAAATTTGAAATACTTCATCATCTCTCCCCCCTTTTTGTCACAAATAAAAAAGGTAACAACAATATATAAATAACTCAAAGATGCAGTTACTAGCATGCACAAGTATAATCAATGATCAGTAAACTATTCCACATACTCAGTTCAAATCTAAATGGAATAAATTGTATAAGTGACTCATGTGTGTTAAGTGCCATTAATTTCTTGTGATCAAGACTCCAAAGCTTATACTTTTGTGAAATGACATGCTAAACGTCACTATTAACTAAGTTTATTCCCTTACTATTGAAATGTTAACCAATAATACATATTATGACCTTTAAACGAAACTCATTTTTCACGTAAAATTATTCTTTTTTTCTCTCGACTTAGAGCATATATACATTTTCACACAATTTATATTTTCTTTTTAAACTCATAATTTTTCTCTTCAATTTCTCACATCTTATGTGTAGACTATTCTCCATTAAGCGATTAAGATGACCCCTGTAATGAGTTCTGGGTTGATGACTCCAAGTTAGTTGATCATAGGGCATCGGGTTATGAGAAACCGTTCGAATTTAATTACTCGAGTCAAATAGGTTTCGAATAAGAGTATAAGATGAAACATTTTTATTTTATTTAAGGGGATATACTCGAGTTTAGATATACTAATTAAGTTCAATCAATGTTCATGGTCACCTTACCAACATATGATGACCATCCCAAATCTCACACATGCGGTCAAAACTTATTCACAAGATCATAGTGTGTGCAGTGCAGATTGCACATGAATAAACCTATACTAAGTACTCCACATAAACCTAAACAAAGTAATAAAAAATATGCTACATCATATCAATTAAAC